TGTCCTGTACTCTTGCTGAGTTTCAGAGTGTTTCCTTCAGTGTTACAAATCAGTGTGTAGATCTGGTCTGCCTGCTCTAGTCCGTATGTTAGTTGGAGTGTTCCACAAGACTTCTGTTTTACCTCTCCCTGGTACACTGACACATCTACGTTGGTATGAGAATCTACGCATATCTTGAAATTAGCTTCGCTTTGAGCACAATGATCACCAGGATTGTACCAGTTGTTGTAAAACACGCGGTAGATAAGGACCTTGTGGATAAAATAAGTTCTATCAAATTCTAGTTTTAACCAGCCTGCTCCGTTATCAGTTTCAGTTGCTGCTACTGTTGAGAGGTCCTTATCAACTGCATGTGCTACACCATCAATCGCCTCGTTTCCATTTAAAGTCTTTCCGTGTGTAACTCTTGTAGGAGTTATCTCTGCCATCTTTACCTTCCGAACTGAAATATTATTATAATTTGTAAATTCACATATTTCGGACACTTTGTCACTTCTCATTTCCAAAATGTTGCCCTCTTGACTGCTAATTGCTGAAAACCTTGACTTAATGGACCTACCCTTTGTAAGTTCACCATCTGATTCACCAAGAACAGTCCACGCCATCATTATAACGAACAGTATGAGTTTCGGCATCATATGTCGTGCTGAAACTGCCTTATCTCGTACTATGTACTATAAATAGACTTTAAGATAAACTAAACCAGTGCCACAAAACCAATGCTGTAAAGATAAATGTGAGCTAGTGTGCCTCTACAGAGAGCACCTCAACTCGACTAATAGTTTCCTTATGTATCATTCCTAGAGCCCTGCTCTCTTATCTGAACTCACAAAGGACGGACTGGCTAAGCTGAGTAATTAACTCTTAGTATTATATAATAGTTTAATGACCATTGTTCTCTGGGTCCTGGTAGGTCGAGGAACCTTAGATCTACAGATTCCAAGGGTGTGTGGTAGTTTTCAATTAGGAACTGAATTTCTTTATATTATTGAATGAAGTTTTAAGCTTAATAACTAATAAGCTTTCAGTTCGGAACTTGGTCGGACCATTATTTTTGTGACACAGAAATTATGTGTCTCAATTTAAGAAGACAAATGCCTGCCTGCCTAGGTCGATCCAGATGAAATCTGGAACGATTTTCGTGACAGCGCTCCATTTATCTCTATCATTCATGAGCCAACGTAACTTATCAGGATCCAATCCAGTATCTTCTTGTAGGACGTCCGGAAAGGTCTTCTGTGGTCATCCTCTATACCGATGGCCATAAGAAGACAAATACCGTGATCACTAAAAATATAAGTATCACAAACAGATATAAATCGCATTATATACACATTTTACAAAACTTTTACTCTTATCATTTAAAAGAAGAAACAGCTATCATTTATAAATTAAACAGTTTTATCAAGTTACTGGATGTCAAATGCACTGGCTTTCAAATTTGCGATGCAATTCTAAAAAAATCCAAAATAAGTAAAAAATTTCATTCAGCAACGAAATAAAATATTGTTAGTGTGACGATTTTCACATCTATCCACTTTAATCCGGTTAAATTATTATATTTGATCTTGTTTCTTTTTCGTACAGACTGTAGTGAAGTTAATTTTTTTTAAACGTGTTTTGGGTCTTATTTATGATTTTTTTATAATTATCTTATTTATTTCATTGATGTATTGTCACGACGGGTTCGTTAGTGTTCCCTCTGACTATTTAAGTTTAATTCCAGTTTAATTCCAGTTTAATTCCATCTATAAATCGATATCTTGTACTGCAAATGAAGATCCTGGTCTTAGAAACAGATTAAAATATTATTCAAATGTTTAACTAAGATGAGCATGAATTAAACGGAATTAAACGGAATTAAAACGGAATTAAACGTAAAGTTGTCGGAGATGGCACTAACACCATCGTCTCGACTATACATGAATGAATAACATATCTAGAGTAAGTAAAATTCGAGATTCAAGAATCATGAAAATTTAGAACAAAATTACTTAAAATTTAACTCCCGTACAAACAACCGAAATAGAAATAATTGCTGAAATAATAATTTAACATAAGAGGAAGTAGTAAAAGGCAACTTCAATGGTCACTAAACTGCGATATTAGTATTCAAGTCCACAAAAGACACATTCATACTCAAACAGTCCTCCCACTCACAGTCACAACGTACTGGAAACAGTAATCACTAGTGTTCCATGCTCGTACAACAGATCGTGAAATCTGCATAATGATGGTTGATCTGTATTATGTCTGTTGAGTTGGTAGTCCTGATGGGGTGACAGGCAGTATTGGCGTCTTTTTCGGGTTCCTGATGCGGTGACAGTTGCAAAGGAATTTGCCCAGTTCTTGCACATGGGCAGAATTCATGATAGCTCCGTATTCCTTGAGCAGCAAAAGACTCTTAAGGTTTTCCGACAGTGAGAGTCTCGCTGAGTGGTACATTGGACATTCAGTGAGGCAGTGTTCTTCATTTTCAATGATTGTTCCTTCGAAAAAGGGGAGATATTCTAAGCCTTGAACGTTATCCTTGTTGCAGCAGAATCTGCAGGCTCTCGTCCACGTTCCAGTTTCTTTTGTGTATCTCCCTCTCTCAATAAGAAGGTCATGGCTACTGGAGCGGATTTTAGCTATGTGCATGCGACATTGACTATTCTTTAGATTGAGATACTGCTCCTCTCCGAATACCTGTTTGATAGTGCAGTAAAATTGCATTTTCTTTTGGGATGCTAAATCTGTTCTCCAATCTTTTACAAAGTGATCAACCAAATTTCCATGTGCAGTTGAGGTCGTTCCTTCTGCTCTGTGTTGGTCGGATCGAGCGAATTTGGCCGCTTTGGATTCAGACTGAGCGATCGAGTTCCAGGTCTTATACCAAGAGAGGTTTAGATTCTTCTGCTCTTGGAATGTCTGATGTACAAGAAAGTTGACGCTGCTCACGTCGGGTGATGTCTGAGACAATCTGTCGAAGTATCTCAGGCATTGTGGTAGTACCGACAGGGCCCATGGTAACCTGCCCGTATCTCCGTAACAGAAGTTGTTGTTAGCTTTCTTGTGTAAGCCGAGCACCCATTTCAGCATTTTCAGGTGTGTTGTCTCAAGTGCGTCCTTTGTTGCAGCTCTAGCAAGGTTCTGTCTTGAACCATCAGCGCAAGCCATCTCCTTTGCCATTTTTGTACACGGTAGCCATATCTGACAGGCGTACGTAGCGACTGGTTTAACGAGGCTGTCTATAAGCTTGAGCATGGTTTTTGTTGTTAATGCTCGAGTGTCGACCATGCGTCTGATCGAGAAAAATGCTCTTAGTGCTTTTTTCCTCAGTTCGTTCATGGCACCTTTAAATGAACCGTTGAGACTGAATTGAATGCCTAGATAGCAGTAAGATTTGGCCGATGAGATGTCCAGGTTCCCTAGTTTGAACCCGTAGGAGCACTTCAGCAAACGAGAGCTCGAGTTGAATACCATGATTTTGGTTTTGTCGATGTTAATTGACAGTTCCCATTTACTTGCAAATTCGTGCAGGCAATCAAGTTGTTTCTGCAGGCTTTTGGCGTCGAGTGCCAAAAGTATCAGGTCGTCTGCCCACAGAAGATGGCTGACCGGGAAGCCGTTCAGTTCTGGAATTGACAAGTCCTCAAGAGCTGCTAGTCTAATGGAGAGGTCATAAATGTATACCTTGAAGAGCTCCGGCGACATTGGATGTCCCTGTTCGGTACCAATGGTGACATCGATGGTGTCCGACAGCTTCTTGCTCAGTTTGATACGGGTAACTGAGTTGCTGTACATGTTCTGGAGGCAAGAGAAGAAGCTTCCTCCGATACCAAGTCTACTGAGTTTGTACATGAGAGCCTCCCTGCAGACTGTGTCGAACGCCTTACGATAGTCCACGAAGCAAGCGAATATTTTCTTCTTCAGCTTCTTTGTATACTTCTCGATGATCGTTGTAAGGGTCAGGATATGGTCAGAGCACTGGGCACCAGCTCTGAATCCGAGTTGGTGAGGGAAGTCGGGACAGACGACTTTACGGAATTCGATCAGCCTATCAAGGAGGAGGGATGCAAAGAGTTTTCCAAGGCAACTTCCTACTGTGATTGCTCTATAGTTATCGGGGTTCTGCTTGTCCCCCTTTTTGTGTAGGGGGGTAGTTATTGAGCAGTTCCAGGGGTAGATTCCTTGCGTTAGGCAACCATTGAATAGTTTCAGAAGGACTTTTTGGAGACCGAGTTTGGAGCTCTTGAGCATCTCGTTGGAGATAAGATCACATGAAACGCTTTTGTTATTCTGGAGCTTATTGGTGACTTTCTCCAGTTCTTGGATAGTAAACTCTGTGTTGAGTTTTTCAAGTTCGACTGATGGCTCGAGGTGGTACTCGGTTCCCTGTTCATGAACAATATTACAACATGGGAGCGATCCCACAAAAATAGAAAAAAAAGTAATCTGGATAAGTCCTTTTCTGAATAATATGTCCATCTGGAAATACTTCTATCAATTACCGACAAAAAGAAACAATAATGGTTTCCCAAAATAGTCTGTGAACAGTGTGCTTATATGCGTAATGTTCCAGGACCATGGTAAGATGTCTGAGATTAGATGCTGTATAGCTAGCTGTAAAGTCTCCTTTTGTAGGTTTCCTCTTCTCGGGTAAGGCAGGTAAAACTTCTGGTAGTCTCTTGTAAGTTGTGTTCATTATCTGGAAAAGTGATAATTGTTAAGGAAAGGAACTCTATCAGCTTCAAATCAGTTATTAGCGGGTTCTCTGCTGATGTTCTTATAGTTGGAAAATATTTCAAGTACAATAATGCGAAAGTTATCATTATACAATATACATGGACGATTTCAATGTAGGTGAGTGATAGTGAAAGTGAGCTACCTTCAAGCGAGTACGTTGTCTGGAGTTGATAGCAAGGTGCTTACTACTCATCTCGTTTGGAGACTGGTACTTTCTTCTACTTTGTCTGAACCTGTGATATATATATTGCGTTAAATACTTTCAACACTACTATATAACAAATAATTTGAGCCTGAAGATGGCGTTGACGCCGAAAATTTGCCCTTACTCCTAACTTCCTTGTTTCACTTGTCCTTGTCTCTTCCAACCGGATATTATCCAACTATCAGTATTTAAATAGAGTCCACAAAATACTTCAGCCCCTCACCCCAATACTTAAATCCTCCGCTCATTGATTTCAAGCCAATAATTGAGCGATTATCTTCCTCGAAAATATCATAACTCAGATAATATGTTCCAAATACAAGCAAAATGACCTACTTTGATAATTGTGAAGATGTCACCGACCGAATCTTTGTCTTAGGAGTTTTAGACCAAAAATTGGAGAACTATCCTGTCGGATGGTTGTACATTATTATAGTCAGTGTTAGTTGTTAGTATTAATGAGCTACTAATTAACCATTTAATACACTAATTTAACTTGATCAGTAAAGAATTAAACTTAATCAGTGAAGGATGCAGGCTGGTGTATTTCTCAGTAGAGACTTCTAAAAATCTTTTAATAGTCCATAACATCTGATCTTTTTCTCAAACGGCACCTTGTTCTCCTTATTGTGCTAATTCCGGGAAGCATTCTCATGAATTTTGCTTAAGCGATTTCAATTAACTTACGTTTTATAAAGTTACACTTCCATTTTTTATCAATTATACCCATGGTTTTCCAGGCACTGTGTCCACGAGAGTTCAATTCAGCGATTCATATTGTTTAACTTTTTCTATTTTTGTTTTATGAAGTGATTGTGTCAACCCACCAAAATGAAAAGTCTTAAACGCAAATACAATGACGACTGAAATAACGACTGCCCTCCCATTGAGAGGCTCCCAACGCAACCGGCCACAAATTATGCTCGTGTATACGCGTAGTGTATCGTTTATACACTACACATAATACATAATTCACTACACATAATACATAATAAAGCCAGTAGTTAGTCTAATGATGCGTAAAGCACAACATCTTTCGTCATAATATCATTATTTCGTAGTCCAGTGTAAAATATTGCATCATAAACTTTGTTTAGATAAATTATTGATGTCATATGTTTTTCAATATGCGTTGCGAGCTCCCAAAAGGGTTTATATTTTAAGTAGACCATTTGAAAACATCTTTTACTGCGGACTGCCGTCTGCCACATATATACAGTTAGCTTACTTTGAATTCTTTCATAATTTTATATTTAGTGTTTACCGTGACTTATGTTACACTCAGTAGGCACCAATGTTTTGGATCAGCCGAAATAGATTTAACAAATGTTTTTTAACAAAAATTACATCAGATGGCAAGATTGATAAAGAAATAAGTGTCAGGATTAGAAAAGCAACCGGAGCTTTTAACCAACTCAACAACATTTGGAAGAATAAGAACATAAGCATTAACAACAAAGTGCGAATCTACATCGCAGCTGTTCTTACCATTCTGACCTATGGATGTGAGATATGGAACACGACTCAAGTGCAGACAAGAAGATTGGAGTCTTTCCATCAGTAGGTACTGCTTAAGAAGAATCCCGAGAGTGAGGTGGTTCCATCGAGTAAGTAATGAGGATGTTTTAAGAAGGGCATCAATAACTGCTCTTGCTGACATAATAACAACAAAACGGCTGCGTTGGTTTGGACATGTCAGTAGAAATAGAATGCCTGAAGATCGGTTACCCAACTATTTACTCGAATGGAAACCCAAGCATGGGAAGAGATCAAGAGACAGGCCTAGGAAGAGCTTAAATGATGTATTTATTGAGGATGCTGAGCAGAGATTGGATCGTAATGGACTCACGATTCATGATTGTATAAGAAGATTAGCTGCAGACCGAAAGGGATGGAGAAATGTTACCCGCCGAAGTTGTATAATACAAAATAATGACGCAGTCGACGCAGACTAATCCTTTTGGATGGAGATCTCGCCATGTAACATGTATGTATGTAGGCAGTAGGCACCAATGTTTTGGATCAGCCGAAATAGATTTAACAAATGGTTTGCACAAGTTTTTCTCACTCTGGAATCTAGCTGCAGTCTGGTGGTGTTGAGTTTCATGAATATTTCTCTAACCTTCATAATTACTAAGTCATGCTGAATTGCTTCATTGCAGATATTTTGGTCTTGTGTAATGTGTAAATGTAATTTACAAATTTAATTTACAAATTGTAAAATAGTAACATTTATTTGAATTTTGACTTGAAACTAGACCGAGTTACATTATTTTACCAGCTAGCCAGCGCAGCGGTAATTATTTTTCTTGGTAACCCTACACCTAAAATATGTACTTCCTTCATGTTGTAGGACTAGGCGATGACGTTCTGAACATGCTGTAGTTTTGAACTTTTATTGATGATTTGCCACATCGACTGTGTTTCGTTTTCCGTGTAAGCCTGTACTTAATACTTTAATAGTACCATTCCAGATTGGAGCAAGTTAACCGGTCTTGTCCCTTGTTTAGTCATTAACCAGGCTGGTACTGGCGACTGATTGCTGATACGTCATTCTTGTATTTTTAAAACTTATATCATATATTGCATTATTGACAAACATTCTTACTTATTACACTCCACACCTGGTGTATTAATATTATACACTCCGTGGTATTTAATTGAAACTTAATCTCACGCTAGATTTTCACTCACTATACATTTTGTACTATAGCTTCCAGAATTTTCAGTCTGGCTTTTAGTTTGGGTTGTATTGTGTTTGTTTGAGAGTTTGGAAGTCTTTAGACTGTTCATGGTTTACTCGAATTATTCAGTTATGAGCTCAAGGATAAATACACCACCAGCTTGCTTGTACTTGGTGCTATGCACTTACAGCACGGAGATCGAACTCCTAATCTCTCAGTTGTAAAATCCCATTCACGCCAACAGACCACTGTCCACCAAGCCCGACGGCATTCCACATTTATGACAATATAATAAATCTTGGTAATAATTAGTAATTATTACGAATATCAATTATTATCAAAAATTGATTTTAATTTCAATATCATTGAGTTTTACAATACACCAATATTCAGTGTCTAGTGTTTATATATGAGACAATTGAAGTGATATGTGACTCAGTTTAGTGCAACGTGGAGTCGTTAAATCAGCTACCCAAAACACAGGTTAACATATTTTTAGTTAATTACTGACAGTAATCAGCATGTAGTGGCATCTGATTGAATATGTAAAAAATATGCTATTCCTATCCGTTCTAATTGCCTTGCTGTCAAAGATAACGTAGGCATTTTCAGAAATCGACATACAGAGAATAATGTTAAATCGAAGAACAAAAGCCGATTACATCAGCAAATAAAGGTAAGAAAAGAATATATTGGACAAAAAAGATGCGTGACACATGACTGACATGTCCCACACTGACATGTCCCACACTGATATGCCCCACACTGACATGTCCCACACTGACATGTCCCACACTGATATCACAGTATTTTTTAACACAAATAATAAAATTACAAATGGTGACAATCAACTGTTTCAGATAAAGTTCTCTTCAAAAACGATGTCGGAAAAAGATCTATCAATATCTGGATCAGTTGCTATCACGATTTGCTATGGTATCGTCGGTGCATTTTTTATGTTAAACTTTTTGTCAAGAAGAAGATATAACTACTCTTTACTCAAAAAGAAGATTTATGAAATCCGGTTAATTATCACAAATGCAAAACGAAAATACATCGATGATTGGTTGACAAAGCTGAAGAGAGACGGTGAAGATATCCGTGCAAACTACCTCCCATCATCGGAACCACTACCAAAAGATCAGCCATATAAGTACTACCCTATCATGATCCCACCAACACCTCTCTCACAGTATGTTGACAGAATGAATATGAAACTTCTAAATGAACTGAAGAAAAAGGATAGGGTAAAGTACGATGGTATCATAAAACAACGATTAGATTCCAAGGACGGTTACGAGGCCGAAGTGAAAGTTTTTCGGGCCCTTGAAAGATTGAAACTGAACGAGAACATGATATTCGTTCTGCATAGTTTAAAGTACAGTGATCAGAGGGATTATCATTATTTTGTTGGAGAAGTACAACAAGGAGAGTGCGATTTTATCATAATGGGAAGGAACTATTTCGTCATCATAGAAGTTAAGAAAAATCATGCAGACGTGAAAAACGCTATGGATCAAGCTAAACGAACTGAGAAGCTTATTGCAGGCATTATGGCTCAAATTACTGATAAAGTAAAACCTCAGATTTTGAACTTCGCTGCATGTCCCTTCTTCGCAGGTGTGAAAGATGTAAAAAATGCAAGAGTTATAACAAAAGAAGATCTAAAAGATGACAGGAGCTTTTATTCATGGTGGGAAAAAAACGTTATCGACAACGTAGATCAGCAAACTTCTTCTACGTATTATGAAGAAACTCGAGACATTCTTATCGCGTTGTGGGCCATGAATAAAAACAATAAATGTGAGAAAGAAAGGTGCTCCTTGGAGTGGAACGTACTGAAGATTGATAAGGAACTAAAAGATGGCCTGATCACATTTGAGCCGAAAAAAGACAAGGGGACAGCAAGCCTAGATGTTGTTGAAGCACCCGAGGTAATCAGAAAATATTGTGGAGTTAAGTACCTGACAACAGAGCAAAATAAAGTATGGCAACGTTTCAGTTTTCTAAAATACAAAACAGAGCAAAATAAGGTATTTCAGTGTCTCGGTTTACAAAAATACAACGTATTTGAACGCTCACTAAGATACAAAATAGATCATCAAGATAGGGTATCTGAATTTGTATTAAGAATATACGAAGAGAGGATACTAGGATCAAATCGTGAAGATGAGTTATATGAACGTTTACTAAGATGCAAAACAGAAGAAGATAAGGTATTTGAATGTTTTCTAAGATACAAAACAGAAGAAGATAAGGCATTTGAACGTTTACAAAGTTCTGATACACTGATATCCCGTACAACCATTAACGACAAATTTAGAAATGAGTTTGAAGTTTTGCTTAAACTCAAAACAGAGAAAGATTTGGTATTTGAACGTTTGCATGGATACCGAACAGATAGAAAAAATGAGTTATTTGAACGGTTACTAAGATACAAAACAGAAAAAGAAAGTTCTCTGAGAGACCACACAGAGGAAGATGAATTATATGAACGTTTACTAAGATACAAAACAGGGGAAGATAAGGTATTTGGATGGTTTCTAAGATACAAAACAGAAGAAGATAAGGTATTTGAATGTTTTCTAAGATACAAAACAGAAGAAGATAAGGTATTTGAACGTTTCCTAAGTTCTGATACACTGATACTCCTTACTGATATTCCTTACTACGACAAATTTAGAAATGAGTTTGAAGTTTTGCTAAAACTCAAAACAGAGAAAGATTTGGTATTTGAACGTTTGCAAAAAGACAAAACAGAGGAAGATAAGGTATTTAAACCTTTACTAAGAGACAAAACAGAGTTATTTCAACATGCATTAAGATCCCACATACCATTTCTAGTATGGATTGATGGACCAGCTGGGAGTGGGAAAACTGTGCTTCTGGCAGGGAGACTGCTACAACTAGCTCTGCAATTAGATACAGTACAGAGAAGAAGTGTTGTTTTCAAATTCATTGAAGGAAACAGCGACACTGACTCTACAGAAGGAGAAGAACACCTTACAATATATCAAAGAGCATGTCAGGAAGCAGGCGTGGATGTCAAGCTTATCTTTCCTTCTAACTCTGGAGAAATACATTCATTGGCAGAGCAGATAATGAACAGTAATAAAACTGTAACAATTATAGAGTTGAAATATGTTGATATCAAATATCTGAAATATACATTTGCTAATCTTGAGTGCTTTGAGTCGAATGTGATTATAGATGATTTTCAGTGCCTGTTACGTTGGTATGGCAAAGCTGATATCGGTGACCTGCTGAATAAACTGAACAGATTTTATAGAGTTTCAGGGTTTAGTCTGCTAATAGCATGTGATTTAGGACAGTGGTATTGGCGTGACAGAGAATATATTGAAAGTGTAAGAAATTGCATTGAAAGGTATTGGACTTTTGGAAAACAAGAGTTAAAAAAGAATCTTAGGAACACTTGTGATATATCAGATGTTTTATCCGTTTTTAGAGATAAATACATAGAATCTGCGCTAGACTGTGACATGTTACCCAAGCAACTTCCGGGTCATTTCATCCGTGGCCCACTAACTGAATTTCATATATTTGAAAAGTTTGATCGTGATTTAATCACGATTAAATTTAATCAAGAATTGATGAAGTTATGCAGAATTAACGATTCAGATAATTCTAAATATGGGACTGTAGTTTACAATGATGTTAACGAAGCACTAATTGAAAGCATATCGGAGGTGAATAAAGAAAAGATAAAGGTGTGTCACTGTTCACAAATCAACTCAGCTGAATGGCCGGCTGTTCTTGTGTTACATAATATATGGGGCGTTAACTTAGTTAGTTACCGTAACTATGAGAAAGAGGACTTTACTCAACTTTATCTTATGATATCGCGAGCTCGGGTAAAGTGTTCCGTTTTGATGTATAAAGGAGGAAGGCGAAAGAAAGAGAAATCTTATTCAAGACCGATGAATACAATGTTACTATTGCTTGAAAAAATAGAACCTTTAGCTCGTGTTATCAAATATTAGATTTCTTTCTTATTTGCTAACAGTGCATGGGAGCCCTTCAGAACAGAGACCGGGACATTCTGGCCGTAGGATACTAAAGACTTCAGAGTTCAGGGTCCATACCTTTAAACATTTTTTCTCGATGTTCAAGAACATCAAATATACGAACATTCATAACATACATGAACAACTTCTGAAGCTGTTGCATGTTCGATCAAGACTAAAAACCTGCAGGCAGTGTTGATCTGAGACCGATGAAAGTGACATTAGCTTGTGCGGCATCTGCAGTGAAATTGGTCCTTTCTCGAGCAAGTAATCTAAAGAAATCTCAATCAGCCATGAAATGTACCACAGTTGGTTACATCACAACTGACAGAAACAAAGAGGAGAGAGCAGCTCATCAGAAACCTTTTCTCAAAATAAAGGATATGATCATTGCTGAGCCAAAAAAGTATCACTATCTTAGGCAAGATTCTAAATATAGATAAGACAGTAACTGTCACCAAGATAGTATTAGTCACCAAGGTGTAACAATCAGCGCATTGGTTATCTATAGTACTTTGTTTTGATTGTATGCAAGCATGTAAAACTGTTAACTGATTCGTAAATTTGATGATTTTTTGTGAAAACTTTTTTAAATGAGGAACTTTTTTGTGAGTCTTAAAACTGCAACCGTGATTGTAACTCAGGTATGTGATGACTTGTGGATCGCACATCGCTGAATAGCAATCGCGAAGCAGGTTTCACCCAGGTCAGGTTTGTCTAGGCTATTCTCTGAGGGCACACTGTGTTTATGTTTTGTGTTGTGTGCCAAGGTACATCGTTTGATTTTGGATATTTTCGTATGTCTTACAGTTACGGGTATCAATATCTATCATATATATTCTATGCAATTCAATTATTTTTCGAGTAAACATTAATCGGGGAACCAAAACCCGATTCCCAATCAATCAGGAATAATATAATTTTTAATTGTCGGTGGAATCCAAATTTTTGATGGTTAAAAAGGGGGCATAATAGTAGTATAGGGAGTATAATTATAGGTCACTATAGGTGATATAAGAGCAACAGTCGTGCTTTTCAGCACTGTGAATCCCCTGTAAGAAAATGAATTATGTTCAATCCCCTGTTAAAGAGTGAGTTACCTTATCGGACCTTATTTGGACGGACATTACTTGAACGCTGGAGGCCCTAGCGTTCATCTTAATGTCCGTTCAAATAAAGTCCGTTCAATTAATGTCCGTCCAAGTTAAAGTCCGTTGAAATTTTTTCAAACATTTTTCCATTTCGAACTTTTTGTCCAGAATATGACAACTATGAGAACTTTATTGTGCCGTAAGTTAACGACGGAAAGGTTCTCCTTGGTCTGCCGGAGGCACAGAAAACTTTACTAGTATATGATGTTTTCAAGGGTCACTTGGCGGAAAAATTCAACGAAATTATGGCACTCAGAAGAAATGAACTAGTCCCCGCCAACATGACAAACTTGTTCCAGCCTCTAGATATTACGGTAAAATCGTGTTTCCAAGGACATTGTCCGACGTTGTTATAGTTCATATTACTCAGGGGAGGTAATGGAACAGTGCTAGGAAAGCTCCACGTGATGTTAAGGTTAACCTAAAGTTGTCTAAGATAAAACCACTTCACGCCGAATGGCTTGTAAAAGTTAACACTGAAATGCAGGACCAGGGTAGTTTGATAAAAAAAGGTTTCCATAAAGCTAGAAATCACTGATGCTTTAAGCATGGACTATTTCATGCACGAAAACCCATTTGATGAAGATGATATGTGATATTAGACACTGATCATGTACACATGTTTTAAGAGTTTTACTGCTTAATGACTGCTTTTCTTACTTACTGTATAAAAAATGGATTTAAAAATCATTTACTGAAATTAAAAAACGTCAAAAAATTGAAAAAAATTCGGATTTTTGATGGTTTTGAATGCCTTCGAGCGTTCATA